TCCTGTCATCAAGGCCCTGAACCTTGACTGACTCGGCCCTCCACCTCGCTAGGAAGGTCGACAATGATTCCTTCTTCCCCTTTTTTAGGCCGAACAGGTGGCTGAAGTTTTTCTTGACGTCTCGGGAGCTCGCGAACCTCAAGAGAAAGTGCTGAGCCAACTCACGAAAATTCGTGATACTCCCGTCGGGTAGAGAGTCATACCATTCACGAGCCGGGCCATCCAAAGTGGCAGAGAAACCGCGGCATCGGATGGCGTCCTCGTACTCCATCATGACCATGTAGGAAAGGTACCGAGATACATGATGATGGGGGTCAGAAGCACCCTTGTATGCTTCAATGGCGCAGGGCTTGTAGCCCGTCGGCAACGGCGCATCCATGACCGCCCGGGTGAAGGGTTCGGGTATCCGGAGGTCGGCCGTGTAGGGCTCCCCCCCGACGACCCTCCTTCTCAACTCGTCAAGGCGCTGTCGTAGATCTTCCACCTCGGCAGGCGGTGGGTTCCCCCGGACAGCTCCAGCGCGGGGCTGGGCATGTCCGGCGGTACCTCCAAGTCGTCCGTGCACGTGAGGTCGGGGCCCCACGTTTTGCCTCTCCGTGGAGCCAGTCCGACTGCTCGCCCGGTGAGAGTGGCAAGAGGGCTCGCCTCCTTCCATCTGCGTTGGGTGCCCCTGCTGGGTGCCTCTCCCCGTCTGCCGATGGGGTCGGCTAGGCTGCTGGGAGACTTCTTCCCTCCGCCGATGGGAGACTTCTTCCCCCCTGTTTTGGTTGGATCCAGAGCGTCGCTCATCACGCCGCCTGGAGGACACCTCCACATCCGCTGGCGTCTGTTGATGGGCAGGCTCGTCCACATTTCCGCCAGACACCATCTGTTGGAAATTTTGAGCCAAGGTCCCCAGAACCCGAGTTGCCTCCTGTAGGGCTTCCACCCCGGCATTGAGTCAAGTCGGGTCCATGCGCGGAGCATGACGTCGGCCTCCCCCCGCCGGCTGCGGACCGAGCGCTCACCTTGGGTGTGGTTGAGCGTCGCCCTTAGGTCGTCGTGGCCTGATAATTGGTTCCGAAGGTCGCCTTGGCGCGCCACCCTCCTGCCCTGTGCATGGTTGTCGAGGGCACGCTGGCGGCCAGACCGGGTGGACTCCTCGGTGTGGACTGAGACATGGTCACGTCGAGACGAGATTCCGGCCATCTTCCTATGTGATTCCTACTCAAGTTATGTGAGAGACAATAAACGCTCTCAATGAAAGCACCAATGTTGGTCCAAAATAGGACGCTCGTAGGCTTTTAGGAAAGCTACGTACGACACTCAAGCAAGAATTAAGAAAGTACGAATATGAAAAGTTGCAAAGGGGATTTGGTAGCCAGAAATAGCATATCTCATTTGAAATTCGGACTTGCCTTTTATAGGCGATTACAAATGGTAATTGTCACAGACACTAATGACTAATTAATTACAACATTAATATAGAATTAAACACATAATTAATAGTGCATTGATTGTTGGCCGTTACTCTTCCTGGATGGCAGGTCAGTCTGGCTGGCAGGCTGGACGCTTGAGCTCCCTCCTACTGGACTGGACGGTGGGCTTCCCGCTAGACTGGAGGAAGGCTTCTGACCGGGCTGGAGGCAGGCTCCCGAGTAGGCTGGAAGGCGGGCTCCCGGGTAGGCTAGAAGGCAGGCTCCCCGTTGGGCTGGAGGCAGGCTCCCACCTGGGCTGGACCGCAGGCTCCCAGCTGGGCTGGTGGCCTGGTCGGCAGGCTCCTGGCTAGGCTGGAAGGCAGGCTCCCCACTGGGTTGGAAGGCAGGCTCCCCGTTGGACTGGCCGACAGGCTCTCTTGGGCTTCCGCTCCTTGATTGCCCTGATTGGTTGGGCTGACTCGAGCTCTGGGTTGCTGGGCTTGGGCCTGCTGGTCCAAGTTCGGGGCCTGGGCCGATTAGGCTCTGGGCCTGGTCCCATAACCCCATCAATTTGTAATGTGGTTTTCGTTACATGCTTCATAATTCAAAAATTTTGAAGAACCTGATAGTGTTAAAATATACTCCTTACGTCTCTGTGTAGGTGGATTAAATATACTGAAATGTGTGATAGATCAAACAATTCAAATCCATCGAACAAAAATGTGTGATCTCATAGTTTTGATAAAAATGACTTTCCACGTAATTTAGTTCCCAACAAGATCATCGAGTGAAAGGGGCAAAAAACTCCAACCTTTCTTCCGATTAACGGTCACTCAATATTATGGAAGGCAGTTGTAGAACCACTCAAGTTTAAGACTGGTCAAAGTGAACACCTAAAATTTTGAATCAAACACTTTTGTTAAAAAACTATTATAAATATTTTGAACAACTTGATTACTCCGTATATGTTAAATTTATCACTCACTAAAAATCTTTATCGCCTTAAATGTACCTAATGTAGGAAAAGCTTAATCAAATGAGAAATTATATGTCACATTTTTATATGAGTTATCTTATTTTTCCTCTCAATCATCATAATTGATTGAAGTAGTAGTGATACTAATGGTGAGTAGTCTTCGGTGGCATGTGAACTTAGGACATTTATCTTTAAGAGAAAAGGGGGTGGGGATGGGGAAATAATCAAAAACTAAATTTGATACAGTGAAATTTGAAAAATAAAACCGATCAAACTAATAGTTTGAAATTAATTTAAGAGTCTGTTTGGTGACTCTGTTTTTCGGCTTATCAGACATTTCAACCAACTTTTTAACCAAATACGTAACTTTTGATTTCGTGCGCTGAATAGTGTAATAATAAGATAAAGTAAGGTTGAAGTTACTTTTCTGACTGTATTGGCTGAAGTTACCGTAGATGACTACATTATCTATTTTTAATCTAGAGGAGGGCATACCATGGGGAGGTTGAGCTTTAAGGGAAGCAAGGACTCACTCATTTCCGAGCAAGGCTCTACGCGCAACAACTTATCCTAAATTCTTCGGTGAGTGGCTAGCTGGAATGACCGATGGTGGTGGAACTCTTCACATATAATTTTTTCTTTATTTTATTAATAAAATATATTTTAATTATAATTTTCCATAAATTAGTAAAATCAACCAATATAATCACACTACAAAAAAGTGCACATAGACCGTTTTTTTATTGCGATGGCAACATAAGTGTCATTAAAAACATCATTAACTACGCATTTTTTTAATTTACGACGACATTTTTTAACTGTAGCCTATGTTTTTACCACGCCTGTTGTGCCCACGCACGTAAAACTGTCACAAAACTGTCGTAAATAAGTATTCCCGAGAGTTTTGTGACATTTTTACTTTTGTGGGCACAACAGTCGTGGTAAAAACATAGGCCAGGGCAAAAAACTGTCGTCTCTATCTCCTACCACATTTTTATATGTGGTAAATAAAAAACTGTATTTAATGGTGTTTTTAACTACAGTTATGCTGCTATCGCAATAAAAATCGCGGTTTATGTGCACCTTTCTTCTAGTGTCACTTCAGCCAGAAATTCATAAATTTCAGCAGAATCGGCCGATTCAGTCAATTTTAGTGATACCAAACAGGCTCTATGTGTTATACCAATAGTATTAGTACCTCAAGAACTTTTAGAAATCTTATGTATTATGTATTACGTATTAGAATTAGTTTATATTAATCTGTTATTGTAACTATAATATTGACTCGACATTCACTATTTTTTTGTCATCGAAACATTAAATATATACTCCCTAAAAGATTGTTACAAACGTTTTTCTTAAATATGTACAAATACATATCGAATACCCCGCAAATTATATGATACATCCGGGTGTACACGTACACCCGGTAATTTTGTAATTTCCTCCAACTTTAAACCTTCTTCTCCCATTCCATTGATGCATGTCGATCTCTTCACCATAGACATCACCGCTCGACCTTCACCATGCTTCATCGATTCGAGCTTCACCATCACCGTCATCGCGGCGCGAAGAGTTTTTTCATGGATGCAGTCTGATTAGGAGCAGATTCCATGTTGCAATCTTATTTGTTGGAGTCTCACCTGGGTTGCTCAATCGTCGGCGCTCCATTCCGTCAAAATTTAGGCGTTTCTGGTCCGTCGCCATTCTTCCATCTCCGATGCCGCAGAGATTCTAAATGACAACGTTGATGCTGTGTATAGATTAGATTTTGGTGACATTGACCTAACAGATCAATCCAACCTTTGCATCATCGTTGTCACATACCAAATGAGCATAACGTTTAAACGAAATGAGCATATACGAATGAGAATTTGAACACATTAGCGATTTCAAATGACCTTTTGAATTTTTCGATACTCGTTTTATAATTATGTATGGTCATTTGGTTCTGACATTATCCTCATTTTAAAATGCCATATAAATTCATAATTCAAAAGTATCATGATGCTCAATATTATACTCCTAATACTCAACAAACTAAATGTAATGCTCGGTAAAAGTTCATGAATGCTCATTTGACAGAAACCGTGATGTTGTGGTCATTTGTAAAATGTCATATTAATGTATATTTTAAAAGTATCATATCACATAAAATCTCATATTACAATTCATAGAGATTGTTTATACATATAATTCAATAAGTTTTATAAAAGAAAAAGAAAATTAGAAAATATGGAGCGAAGATGGTGATGTTCATCGTTATGCTCCTAATACTCATTACAATATGTTTGATGCTTACTAACAGTATACTTATGCTCATTTAACGAAAATCGTGATTTTTTGATTAAATTACAAAAATGACACTGCCTAAAAAATGAACCTTTTGGTAATGGGCTATATTAGCAGATGAGCCAGTTATTTGTTTAATTGGACCGGATGTACGATTCCCACCCGTACACCCGGGTGTATTGTTCCCCATTGTTTAAATATGTGTTACTACAAATTAAATTTATACAAAACAACAACAAAATAAGATACTCCGTATTCATTTCACAAATTATCCCTAAATTAAATAGTTTTATTGATTAAACGTATCTTGATTCTTGAATCAAGATGGTTTGGACTTTGGAATGAGGACCGGCCCTGTTTGTGATTTCATCCCTCAACTTCATCTTCCTCTATATATTCCTCCTACTAAACACACATCAGTCAACTCAAGAAAAGAAGACCTAACGGAAAGGAACAACCGCCAGCTATGGTAGTAGAGGAGTCGCTTCGCATTCAAACACTCAACCAAGTTCCATCTGCGGAAGATTTTGCCTTCCATATTGAACCGAAGAATGTTCCAGCTGTATGGTTTCATTCCGAGAACTGAATAAGTTAAGAATGAACTTGCAATTGCGCATATAACACTTCTTTAATTCCTTGTAAACAGGTCTTTGAAGGATGTATCACGAATTGGAAGGCTTTCTCCAAATGGAATCCCTACAATGGCGGCCTCTCTTATTTGCAGGTTTCTATAATTGTACCTTTTCGATGTTTTTATTCCGTCATTTCATCACTTGAAGCAATTAATTATCAGTTTAGAAGTTAGAACTCGAACCAGGTTTCTAAAATTGAGGATTATTATCTACACTTTCGAGGCTTCGTGCTTAAACTACAGTTAATGAAAGAAGTATTTAACCAAGCGTGAAACCTGTTGTTGGCAAGATCTCCTGGCATAATCAATTTCATTTCACAAGTTATTTTTGGATTTTTTCTTAATCAAGATGTAACTCTTGTAAGACGAAAAATAATTATGTGAAAATCTGAAAACATATTGTCTCTATCAGTGAAAATGGCTTGAAAATGTATGTAATTTGAAGTTGTCATTTCATTGGAATTAGGAACATGTAGGATCATCTGTTGTGCAAGTGATGATGTCCAGATCTCCACCGGTCTTTTATGGTGACATTAGAAGTCATGAAAGGGTAACAATTATTACCTCGGAATATATTTTAAATTCCATATCAAGTTTCTCCTGGTTATATTAGTCTGCTGAAACTCTGTCATTGTTTTCTAAGGTTCCAATACCATACTCAACTTTCATCGCATATTGCATGGATCATTTGAAAAATAAAGAGGATGGCAAAGATAATCCTTGTCAATCTGAGAAGAATAGGCTGAAGTTATCTGACATTGATCGAACTGATAGCTGTGCAATTGAGGTTCAGCAATATTATCTAGCTCAGGTGGAGTGAACTTATTTGTTTAACTGATATGGAGCATGTATTCTTCAAATACATGATAATTGTCATTTTGAGTCAGGTGCCAATACTGAATGCTGAGAATGAGGATGCCGCACAATTGAAGTGTTTGAGTGAAGACATTCATATGGTGTGTGGGCTTCTTCTCTGCATCTTGACTGTGTTGTTTACGTTTTCTTTTGAATGTCTCCTAAGCAATGATAACTTTCTCTGCAGCCTGAGTTCTTGCAGACAAAAAGCATGATTTCCATCAATTTGTGGATGAATAGTGCTAAGACCAGATCAAGCACTCACTATGATATCTACAACAATCTCTTATGTGTAGTGTCTGGATGCAAACAAGGTTAGCCTCATCATATTTATTAGTTTGTTAAAGACAATTTGTAGTAAACTTCAGTTTATGAATTGCATTTCCACTTTATGCACACCTCGGCTATATGCTGAGTTTTCATTGGATGGCCTCAGTTTGAGGCTGATGTGATCATTAGACTTGTATAATGTAAAGTTTTCTAGGAAAGGAAAATTGATCCTTCTAGTCAGTACTCAACACAATCTAGAATCTTTTTATATGCTATCCCGAGTGAAACTTACTGCTTGCTTGCCCCTTGATAGCCATCCAATTTAATAGTATCAGATGCTTTATGTGGTCAGCTTCTCGTCATATATACGTCATATATTTTTGGTGTGCTATTTTAAGAGAAATGCCTCACTAGCATGGGCGTGATTCTCATTTAGATATTATTATTACTATTATCAGTTTCTTTATGGCCACCTTCTGCAAGCCCCTTCTTATATCCACTTCCTTTATATGGGGAAGCATCAAATCACAGGTACTTCACCTCAACACATATTTTGTAAATCACGATCCCGTCATTGTTTCTTTTGCCTGTTAAAAGGAAAATCACTGTTTTTGGTTCCCCCAATTATTCCTTATTCTACAATGTAGTGGCTTAGTAACAAGTCTCCGCGACCTTGTCCCTTAATTATTGAATAAGTAGTCAATCAAGTGCCTAACACACCAGTAATGAAGTCATGCTTTTTTTTTCTTTCCTTGTTTTGCATTTCTGTATCAGCATGGATATCCTTTTTTATTATCTTCTCGACAATGATATTGGGGTTAGGGTGTCAGAGACTTAGTTAACCACCTTTTAAAAACTGAAGAACTGAAAACACCAAATTGATGATTAAAGGCTACATTGCATAGCCAGGAAGAGTTGGGGGCCCAAAAAGCAATTCCCCCCTATTAAATATTGATGATATGTGGACTTATAAGTATGGTCACTAATCTTATTTTAATTCTTTTCCAGTGCTATAATGTTAGGAAGCCCAGATCTATCATTTTACCCAAGGGCAAAATATTTGAAAGAGCATTCCCAGACAGTTGTTCTTCAAGCTGGTGATGCACTTTTCATCCCTGAAGGATGGTAATTTAATCATTGACAGTTACTTATCTTATTGATTTATATTCACTCGTCACTATGAAAATCTTCACCTTTGTCTCCATTAGTTGTATGCTGGCTTGCATCTAAATTACATATGAAAACATCAATTAATTGGCATATTTTCAAATTAATTATAACATATATCTCTGCTCCCAAATAGATTTCACTGAATTCCTATATCAATCTAATGTGTACAGTCTTTATTACTCCGTATTATTATACTACCTCCGTCCCCATATTATTGTCCCATTGCGGTTTACGATGCTTTACCCCATATGATTATTGTTATTATTAATAATGTTATAATTACTACTATTATTATTACTATTATTATTATTATTATTATTATTATTATTATTATTATTATTATTATTATTATTATTATTATTATTATTATTATTATTATTATTATTATTATTATTATTATTATTATTATTATTATTATTATTATTATTATTATTATTATTATTATTATTATTATTATTATTATTATTATTATTATTATTATTATTATTATTATTATTATTATTATTATTATTATTATTATTATTATTATTATTATTATTATTATTATTATTATTATTATTATTATTATTATTATTATTATTATTATTATTATTATTATTATTATTATTATTATTATTATTATTATTATTATTATTATTATTATTATTATTATTATTATTATTATTATTATTATTATTATTATTATTATTATTATTATTATTATTATTATTATTATTATTATTATTATTATTATTATTATTATTATTATTATTATTATTATTATTATTATTATTATTATTATTATTATTATTATTATTATTATTATTATTATTATTATTATTATTATTATTATTATTATTATTATTATTATTATTATTATTATTATTATTATTATTATTATTATTATTATTATTATTATTATTATTATTATTATTATTATTATTATTATTATTATTATTATTATTATTATTATTATTATTATTATTATTATTATTATTATTATTATTATTATTATTATTATTATTATTATTATTATTATTATTATTATTATTATTATTATTATTATTATTATTATTATTATTATTATTATTATTATTATTATTATTATTATTATTATTATTATTATTATTATTATTATTATTATTATTATTATTATTATTATTATTATTATTATTATTATTATTATTATTATTATTATTATTATTATTATTATTATTATTATTATTATTATTATTATTATTATTATTATTATTATTATTATTATTATTATTATTATTATTATTATTATTATTATTATTATTATTATTATTATTATTATTATTATTATTATTATTATTATTATTATTATTATTATTATTATTATTATTATTATTATTATTATTATTATTATTATTATTATTATTATTATTATTATTATTATTATTATTATTATTATATACACACTACGGAAGTGTTTTCTCTTCCGTGCCCATATATGCTATGCATCTAAAATATAATGTCAAATTAAACTTTTATATTATCAGAGTGCCTGCGTTGATGTTCTTGCGTGTGTTTAGATGTGGTTTTCATGTATATAAATTAATCTTTGCTGACATTCTGACATTTTTCATATATCAAGTAATTGGTTATTTGGGATCCGGATTTCACCTTAAGAATAAAGTTTTACTACTGTAATGAGTTTTATGCTTCTGTGTGTGGATTTTGCATAAATGATCGATATCATGCGCTATTATTTCCGTTGATTTATCTTTAGCCTCTTTCAGCCTGGAAGCCTTGCAGTTGAAATGAATTAATTTACATCACTATTATTCTTCATTAACCTAGGTATCACCAAGTAGACAGTGATGATTTAACAATTGGTGTTAACTTTTGGTGGCAATCGGAAATAATGTCTAGTGTGTTGGAGCATATGGATGCATATTATATGCGAAGAATATTGAAAAGGTATAAAGATGCTTTCTTTTCTTTTGCACTTTCCTTCTCTGGGTTCCTTCTCATGTACATTAAGAATAACACACTGATTATTTATCCTTGATGTCTCTCTGCTCTTCTGCATAAACATGAAGATTGACTGACAAAGAATTGGTGAGCTGCTTAAATCATAATCTACCACTGTGAAGGATTTTATCATACCATACTACTATCGTAGTTAATGTGTTAAATCTAGTTTATTTATTTAATTTTTGAAGGTCCCGTAATCCCAGCAAACACAAGGATAGCTTAGCAAAGAACTGTTGTGTGGGATATCGATGTTAATGATCTGATTTTTTATTTTGTCATTTATTTTTTAATAACGCAGGACAAAAGAGTTCAACAACTTTCTCTAGCTGGAAATGAATTTGCACCCACTACAAGTGACCTGCCTTCTAATGCACATAGAGGTAAACAAATTTTAATTTCTAGATCCCAATTGCTGTTTCAAAATCATTTATTTTTTATAAAGAGGAGAATATTTTATGGTATCTGAGGTACTCATTGATGTTAAAACTACATGCTATTTTTGCTAGATGATACCGATCCTACTGGACTAGAGCAAAAAAAATTGTTGCAAAATTTGGGGTCCCTTGAGCGCCAATCTCTGCATGGACTTGTTTCTTTAGTCCATGACCATGTCAACCAAAGACAACCTGTGGGGTGCAGCTCTAATGACACTCAAGGAATTGAAAGCAATGATCAAGTGGCTATCAGAAAGGAGGACTCAAGTTACTGTCTAGAAGATCATATTGCTAATCTTATTTGGTCTCTTGGTCCACTTACTCTTAGGAGTGTTTTTGTTGCAATGGCAGTGAGTTTGTTCTTTCTTTTCACTTCTATCATCTCTCAAAGTCTACTTATGCATTCTTGGTCATGCAGTTTGTTTTATAGAAGGGTCTTCTTTTTTCATTTCATTGTTATTTGGGTGTATGGTATACAGACCGTACTACCAAATTGAAGTCTTGATAGGTTCTAATTTTGAGTTTCCACAAGCAGAAAACTTTTTATTTATTTGATTTTTGAAGTGTTTTTTTTAGGGTGGGGGTAATTGATGGATGCAAAGATACCTCCTGTTTAAAGGAGGCTGTTTGTCGAACTGAACAGAATTGCGACCTCTAATGAACTCCTTCCATCCACTTGATTACCTGAATATCATGTATTGTTATAGAAGCTTTTTTAAAATTTTTGAAAATAACCATGTTGGTAAAAGTTTCTAAATACTTGAAATGAGGTTGTTCGGGTCTCATTCCACTATGCTTGTTATTGCTTCAGCAGCTTGAAAGCAGAATAAAAATACATTATTCCGTTTTTTGTTTTGCATTCAGGGGCGTAGTTGGAGGGGACCTAGGCCCTATATTTTTAGAGTAAATAAATCTATACCAAAATTTTTTTTGTACCGGCCCAGCCCGGCTCGGTGCTCTGGCTGCACCTGTGTTTGCATTGTTGTATCTTCTTCCTTAATAGGTGAGAACAACTTTATCTTATTGATTTCACTTGCATTTAGTATGGATTTCATGGGTCTAAGAGAGGCTATCATGCTCCATCCTTTACGTGCTGTTTACTCTTTTTCCCTTCACATGCCTAGTGCCTACAATTGGATAAAAACAACAATTTAATGATTTTCCAGCATAATTTCCCAAGAACTCTGGAGGCTTTAGTATTGCATGCATTGTCACCAATTGGAGCAGAAATCCTAACTCGTAAGTTTGAAGAGATGGACCAACTTGTGACTGTGGATGACAGGTACCTATGTCTAAAGTTTTCCTATGGAAATGAAATCTTTATTTGTTTGTATTGTCTCACATAAGTTCGGTGCTCTTAGGGACAATTTCTACCAGATTGTCTATGGTGTGTTTGACGATCAGTTTGCTGTGATGGACAAACTTTTAAATAGAAAAGAGTCATTTGGCTGTCAGGTACTTGTTTTGGGGCCATTTAGCTTTCATATTAGCATATAAAGTTGCATTTTTGGTTTTGAATTGATCTGTTAACATCACTCGGTGCAACTGTAATAGAAATTGGTTATTTAATGTTAAATGTCTTCTCAATATCAGGCCTTGTCCATTTTATATTGCTATTTTAGGAACATTTAACTTGTACTGGTGACAACCAAATCACACATAGTGACTCATGCTTTTACTTTCATCTCCTTGTCTGATTACGTGTCACTACAAAGCAAGTTTATGCCTTTTATGACCGTATAGCAACAATATTTGACTCAATAGTCCGGTTTCTGCCTGTAATGTTCTTCTCATTTTCATTTTCTGACTGTTTCATAAAGTTCTCTCATAACCTTGTAAGGAAGAATTTGTGACAGATAGTGTGCTTCATTTGATCTATACAATTGCAGTGTACATAGTGTTTTTTATAACCAGCTTGGCTTGAGATCAACTCGGTTTGGCTCGCTAAGCACTCAAGCTCAACTCATTTATTTAAGAAAAAAAGTGAGCTTGGGCTTGGATTTGTAGTCAATCCATATGCCAACTTGCTTACAAACCAGACTTGGTCTTGTAATTGGGGCATGATTTCACTCCCATGGATATTATATCTATAAACTCAATGCTACTTGCTTTATTTCTCGCAACAGGCATTCAAAGATGTGCTTGATCAGTATTTGGGAGTTAATTTCAATGATGGACCTCAACGGCAAGTCTGATAAACATCCACTGCTGCCAGTTTTCCAAATATGAAGTAAAACCTTGCACCACATTCAGATTGATACTTCAAATCGAATCGGATTCACGGATGAAGCTATCTTTTCTTAGTCGGTACTTCAACATGTGATCTTGTCACTATATATAGGTCCACACTTAACTACTCTGGTACTTTGAGATTCTTAGACTGTATAGGATTTATACGAAATGTGGCTTTGCAAGTAAGCTACTCTTAGATGATCATCTTGGAATATGCTTCTCTTCACTCTTCAAGCGTGTCATCCGTGTATTAACAATTGTTTTGCATGATATTGAAGCTCCTTCCCCTTGGAAAGTGTCCAAAGTCCATAATGTTTATTCTTTAATAGTTTTATGTTTTTATTTCCAAAAAAAGGACTGTACAAAAGTAAAGACATGTAAAAATCGGACAAGCAATTGACCCGGCCAAGTGACTCGGCTTCGAGTCAACCCGGACCTGGCAGGTCAACAATACATCGGGAAATAGTTATCTAAGCACTGCTGAAACTACCTTCAATCAAGACTAAAAATTAAAACTAATCCGGCCTTGAGATTAAATATGTATTTAAGAGGTAGGATTTAGCAAATAGGAATTTAAACAAATTCCTACCTTGTGCATATTAAGTAGGCACACAGATCAGGACGTTAATTAATTAAATAAATACATACATATATATTATATATATATAGGAGTTTTCATGCGCGGATGGCTGCACTAGACCCGTCGTCCGGCCGACGACGTTTGGCCACCTTCTCGGTTGAATTTTTTGATGAATTGTTTACGGCATGTTCTTCATCAAATCTAGTTTATCCACAAAAAATCAGCTAAAAACTCAATTCGGAAGGTCGTCAAATGATTTTTTGAAGTTCACTGTGCTAAAAAATACCCAGTTAACTTTCAAAAATCATTTGACGACCTTCCGGATTAAGTTTTTAGCTGTTTTTTTGTGTGGATAAACTAGACTTCATGAAGAACATGCCATAAAAATTTTATCAAAAAATACCACCGGGAAGGCGGCCAAACGCTGTTGGACGAACGGCGGGTCTTGTGCGGCCGTCCGCATGAGAATACCACTCTTTATATTATTATATATATAAGTGATATAGATATATGATGATTTGATTATTGTCCAATGTGCGGGCCCACATGGAAATGTGCATGGATCAACAGCTTCCCCATGTTTCAGATGTTGTATCAGCAAGGGCGAAACCAAACCCTAATGGATTATGGCTGTCACGCTCATTGTTGTACATTATGCTACTGTTGCTGCTCGTGAACAACTCGTCTTCCCCGTACGTTAACAGACGGTGATCATGCTCCTCTCTCCTCACATTATCGTTGCTGGTCAACCCCAGAAAGTCTCTGGTCAAAGGGTTCCTTTCTGCCACGTGTCAAACCCCACGTACTCTTCTTGGGCCATCCTCTCCATCATGTTCACATCTGACCCCGCACTACCTAGCTGGGCCATGTTGCATTTCACGTGATCCACATTGGTGGCCCCCACGTTGGCTGCCTTCTGTAGAAGCGCCGTGGTCGAGAGGAACGAGGAAGGAGCCATCGGAGGGGCCGCCGGTTCTTGAAAGTACGGTAACGGTGCTCCCGGAGCACAACCACTACTGAGTGACTGAGTCTCGCTGATTTGATCATAGTAGAGAGGTGATGGGGTGGTTGTGGGTCCCATGGGATGCCGCCGCCTATGCACATCAAGAAGCCTGTTGATGTTGTTGCCGGTGGCGGCGGCGGTGATGGTGGGGTTGGGAAGTGTCGCTATGGTGGAGAGGAGCAGAGAGGGTTGAGGTGGAAGCTGGGTTTGATTTGTTGGGGAGGATTATGAGTATGACTGTTATGGGTTAGACGGTGCATTAGCAGTATTGACTTCGCAGAAATTCTGGCACTCTCTTCAGCTAAAGCATCATAGAATGCTCTCTGTGTTATAAAGCTATCCTTCCTCCGTTGATGACTGATTGATTAGCCCTTAGCCCACATTTTAATCCATTTTTAACAATAAAGAGGGATGATACCCCAACATCAGCTAGAGAAACTTAATTAGAAAGATGTAAATTAGATTTTAATCGCAGGTTGCTGAAAGATAGATGCCTTATGCATTTCACATGTAACCTCTTAACGTAATTGTTAGGATTTAAAATTTGGAAACCAAGACTTACTGCGACACCTTCTTCCTACTCCATTTTAATTCATTTAACCATATTACGCATTGTGAATCAAATAAGAAAGGATAGAAAATGCATTTCCAAGTGTGAATAAATTTTAATTCACTTAACATGATGAGTGATTGAATGACCAATATGGTATGGGGAGCTCACTTTAAGAAGTGATAAAATAACATTCAATTTCTAAAAATAATTTCAACCGAATTCATCAAGCACCAACACCAACTCACCAATGTCCTTCAACTGCCGTGAAAAAGTGAAATGAAAAATTATATACTTCAACAGTTTGAAAAAACTTATGGTGAGAATATGTCGTAGTTTTAGTTAGATTGATTTATGTTTTGAATCAAGAGGTGATATACTATAATAAAAGTTTTAGTACATTCAAGAAAAGCCCCTGAATCAAATTAAAATCAAATATATTACATTAGATTGAACTAGACTTACATAATACATACTCCCTTTGTCCTGCTTAGGATGTCTCATCTTTCTTTTCGAGTCTGTCTCATACTAAATTTTGTAAAGTTTGTGTGGTTAAAGATCATTTTTAATATATTCTTACTTTATAAATTCAATATCAACCACATAAACTCACTTTCTTAATACTCGTGTTATTTTCTCATGTCTCAATGTTTGTGGGACATAGCTAGTGCATAGTAATAAATCCGGGGTAAAGTTAATAAAGTGTCTAAATTTTGTAAAGTTTGTGTGGTTAAATATCATTTTATACAATATTTCCTTTATTCTACAATTAAAATACTCCGTATAATTCAAATATCTATCGGATTCAGTACATAATGTCATTTCATTCAGAATTTCATCAATTTAATTGATTCAGAGCCCGTTTGGTAATACCCAAATCGACTGTATTGACTGATTTTACTGAGATTTATGAAGTTCTGACTGAAGTGGCTGAATTGACTAATTTTGCTGATTTGTGAAAAATTATATTTGAAATATAGTTTATTAATTGAATAAAGGATAAAATTATATGACAAAATAGCTAAAACGATCTTCTACATTAACTTTAGTCAATATAGCCAGATAAGTAATTATAACCTTACCTTTTTCTTATTATTATACAATTCAACGCGCGAAATCAAAAGTTACGTGTTTGATAAAAAAGTTTGATGATAAATCTGATAAGTCGAAAAACATGATCACCAAATGAGCTCTCAATCATTTTAGTCAATTATGAAAATTTATATGAGCGTTAGTTTGAAATTATATTTAAAATGGGGAGATAGGCTAGAATTCAACTTGATCAATGATCACATCTTGTGGAGTACGTGTTTGAATCATACACTCCATGAAAAGGTGTAAAACGAAGCAAGTTAGCTTCAACATTCTCAGACCATGATGATGATAAAGTCCTCAAACTTTGCATGTTTTGTTGTGTAGATCGACATGATAAGCTAGAAACTCATCATTAGTTCTTAGACGACCATTCCCACCTGGCCTCCATCATTCTATTCCCAGAAGTTTCTATACACACCGATCATCTACAAAAAAAAAGATGACACCTCATCTGTGAGGGTCTCCAACACCGACTGAACGGTAGGTTGGAAGGATGTAAATTGGACTATAATCTCAATCTGACAAATAGAAAGTGAGGTTTTGTTCCGATACTTGCAGAGGCTCTATGCATTTTTAGCATAGTAACCTTTCATCACAGTTGCCAGATTCGAACCCGCGACCTAACCCTTGTGGCACTCCCTTGCTATCAGTTGAGTTACGCCCACCGGTACACTTACGGACTATCTACCATCTGTCCAGAAGTTTAGGATACACGTAGTACATATATGAAATTACCAAGACTGTTAAAAATAAAATTATACTGTTGATATCAATTTTGTAAAGTCAAATAAATACTCGTATATAATCATTTGGAAGATGACATAATAAATATTACTAAATGTTATACGATAGTATGGGATAGATAAACTTGTGAAATGGACAAAAAAGAAGGATATCACAAAGACAATCGTTGCTTAGAATAAATCATACCAAAAATATGCATCGTGAAGTTGACAAATAAACTAATTATAGACGGAGTGTGTTGGAATCGAACAAATGAGTGTGTTTTTACTCTTCAAATCTACTGTTTATTTATTAAATCTATGCATGCAATTACTTTCAAAAAAATCTATGCATGCAATTACTTAACAATATTTATACCGATTTGTAAACTTTTTTTAGTTAGGTTTGATGGAATATATCGGTCCAGACCCGAGTTAAATGCACCAAATCCCCTCGTGAAATATAAATTCGGCACATTAACCCCCTGTGTTTTAATTAATCATGCGCAAAATCCCCTTCAAGAACAAATTTTACAATTTTGAAATCACTTTTTTTAATCATATATGATTGAATATGCAAGTAACTTTGTCAAAATTTCTAAATAATACAAAAAACTAATCATTTTTCATATTTTTTGAAATTAAATTTTTTCGTGGAGGGAGTTTGGCGCATTATTAATGATAACACATGGGGGTTTGACACATTTTTAAATCACAGAGGGCTAATGCGGCGAATTTATATTTCACGAGGGGGTTTGGTGCATTAAACCCGTCCAGACCCCATAACCCACATACTTAGAAGAACAGGAAGCACGACTGTCACCAGGTGGGTCCTCCATCGGCCAGATGACCTCCATCGGCCAGACAAACATCAACTCAGAATATGCTCTAGACTCCAGGAGAACTAGGGGTCCTCCATCGGCCGGGTCTCCGTCGGCCGTGTCTCCATCAGCCACAGAGACTTCGAACGGCTAGATTTCATACTCAGTCAAATTACATACTCTGTATTTGGCCCAGTTGTGGCCTCATTGTAAATGGGCCTCCCAAGCCCAAGGCTTGAGAGCCCAACTTATACTTTCCCTATAAATACTCCTATTAGGGGTAGTTGTAAGTAGTTGACAAATTTATTCATTGTACATTTATTGCACTTCTCTCTCTAGCTCTCATTTCTGTCTAAGAGTTAATACTCTATCAAGGTTTTTTGTGTGCAGACTTTGCATAGACAAAATAAAAATAACACAAAAAAAACTTTCAAAAACATGGTGGGTATAAGAGCATCTCCAATGCTCATGTTGCATTGCTCCTTATATGGAAAGAAAATGGAGAGGGTCTAGAGCAAATATCAGAAAATGGAGATGGTCTATTTGGAGTGTACTCCAATGCAGAAAGGGAACAACACCGAAAGAAGAAAGGAAGCCATGTACGGTGCTTAGCTGGAGTGTCAGAGGGTGGCACCGAAGGTCTATTTGTAGACCTTGTGTTAGACCTCCTGCTTTACCAACTCAGATTTTGAAGGTCCATTAAGCATTGTCATTGGAGAGTACATTTCACAATAAAATGTGCATTTGCTGACATGGAACTCCAATGCACCCCTGCATTGGAGATGCCCTAAGGGTGAGCACATCAAGCATCGTTTTTTTACTCCAGGGGGCGTTTGGGGGAGGGAGGCTGGGGGGAACCTGGAGTAATAAAGGCTGAAACTCAGCCCATTGTGTTTCAAACCCTTATGTGCCTAGCGGGTTTCGAACTCGAGACCTCTCACTAGGCACAGTAACCTCATAACCAGCTGGGCTGGAATGCTTGGTTATCAAACATCGTTTTTGAACATTTGGTGTATGTTTTACTTTTATTTGGAATCATTCTTAAATAAATTCTACACAATTTTTATTTCATTGTTATTTGTGCTAGCTAAAGATGAGTGAGAGTAGGATATTACGCTATCTCTATATATGCTATCTGCCATCACATTCAAAAAAGCAGACATCATACATCCCCACTCACAGATTACCACTCTTGTGTATATATAACAACCATATAAGATTTTGTCATATACTGAAGCACATACATAAAAGTATAAAACCAAAAATGGAGAGGGAAAAGGAAATATAGAAAACTTGCCATTTTCTAGCACAAACCTCACTACTTTCACAGTTGAAAGCTACCTAATAATGAATTCCTAAAGTGATTGTTCTATAGGTTTAATTTAAGTGTGTAACACTCTCAATCTAAACAAGGTTGGGTGGACCAAGGAGTTCAATAATTGATGCTATACAATAATTTGCCCCAAATTTTGGGGTGCCAAACAATTAACAAGCAAATCAAACATTTTGGGATGCTATATATCACATGCTCTAATGGAATCTTATACTCCGTATTATTAAAATAGACATAACTCACCAAAAATGAAAAAGAATCCCAAATGATAATGTTTGCTTTATAATAATATACATTGAATATAAACCGTATGAACATTCCATGTAAATGAAAACACTTAACACAATACTTTTTATATTGATCTGGAGTCAGGACTGGTTTTAAATAACAGTTTCACAAGAAATTGAAGGGCATCAAACTCCACCAATCATCATTTTACTGATTTTATTTCCTTATACGGAGTATCTGAAAGCCATAGTTAGAAAAGCAATTCTGTTAGAAAATAGAAGATATTGTTGGTGTATGAATATGTTAAGTGATTTTAGTGAGGTGTAGTGTAGAGGAGGTGTTTTAGAGTAGAGCTCTTGTCTCTAGAAAAGTAGTATTGTATTGATGTTGCTTGGTTTGTTTGGTTGAGCAAATGAGTACATAAGGTCCTATTTATAGGTGCTAGAGGATCATTCTAGATCCTTATTAAATGCTAAGAATCTAGATTATTCTACTTCTAATTAATCTAGACTCTCCTTAAGAATTCTCTAGTATAGAATTCTCTAGAACCTTTTTAGCATTAACTTTCTAGAACATTTCTAGATATAACTACATAGCATATTCTGGATAAATGCATCATTATTTAATACTCCTCCTTGATGCATTTGTCGGTAACTCCAAGCAATCTTCGCAGAAACTGGAATCTGTCTCTTGGTAGGGCCTTCGTGAAAATATCTACCAATTCTTCTTCTGTTGGGCAGTACCTCATCTCAATATGCCCCTTTGCTGGGACATCTCTCAAGAAGTGATACTTGATATCGATGTGCTTAGTGCAATTGTGCTTAACTGGATTTTTAGCCATCGCAATA